AGAGTGAAGAAAGCACCAGAAACACAAATGGACCACCAAACCTCAAGAAGACCTGAAAGTTATCTTTAGAAAGCAATGATCATACTGTTTTCATTACTTTTTATTTAACTCCTTGTTGTGGAGACCTTATTCCTTTCAAACAAGATGAAAATATTTGGGCATATTTAGCCAAAAATGTTCTAAATGTCTCTGACTTTTGTTTTGCAGGAGGAATCTATGTTGAACAAGCTTTCACTTCATGTCTAGGGGGTGTCTGTACTGCTCGGAAAGTCTTTGAAATTATACGGTGTTTCAGGATATCAATAAGAGCATAATCTACTCCGTTATTTATACCTGGGGACCTGTGGTAACTCTAAAGGACAGGGAAATGTTTTACTTAAAAGTCGCTAATGCAGCCCTAGCTGGAGAGTGTGCAACTTTTGTCAACTGTATTAAAAACTGTTTTGTGCTTTCAGCAGATGTGAAGATGAAGTGCAACACCACCACTAATGTATGCCTTTGGTCACATCAAACCGCCTACAGGATGGTTTCTAATATGTGGAAGGACCATTTCTTCCTATGTTCCAGCAAACAGTTCCGGGGGGACCACGCTCTCTGGGAAGACTGGCGGTGTCTGTGCCTCAGAAGCCCCACACCACCCAGGCTCCCCGGGAACTCTCTCTCACACCTGATTGTAACAGTGATTTGCACCTTTTTAGCCCCGCTGAATATATTATATATCTTTGACTATACGTGTAATGCTATTAATGGTAACCTCTTTGAATACAGAGATAAGTAGACTGGCCTGCACTATGACACAAGCTTTGAATGTCACCATGCGCGCCATCAATGCCATCAGTCAAGAACAAGAACAGGTTAGGGAAACAGTATTAGAAAACTGCGCAGCTATAGACCACTTCCTTTTTTGACATAACCATGGATGTGATAAATTTAAAGGACTCTGCTGTTTCAACATGATGGATAAGTCACAGCTCCCAGAGCATAAGGTAAAGCAAGTAAATGAAGTAGTATCTGATACGAAACAAAGAGAGGGATTGTTTGGTATTGATTTGTCTAAACTGCCCTCCTGGCTGCCTAGTATTACTGGTCTTAGGCATTTGTTGTTTTCATCTGTCTCATCTTTTCCAGTATCACAGCTTGTCGCTGCATGCAACGTGTCCTCTCACGTGGACCTGCAGTTAGGTCCCCAATCCCCCTACCGGACTGTCTAATGCTGATACATGCTCAACAGCAAAATGATTACTTCCATCCAAAACCGCTCTCACAGAAATAAGATATTTTAAACTAACAGTGGGGGAATGCTGGAGGAACTCAAAAGTTGGAAAATCTTTAGCTTTAAGTTATGGTTAATAAGCTTATTAATAAATGCATGTGAAAAGCTACTGTCCCAGGCTCTGGGATATATAACTGGGCCCACCCTGACTCCAGGAGGCCCACAAACAATTCGACCTTTGCATGTGGGAGGACTGCAAGCAATCAAGATAGCATCTGAGCCACTGGGCTCCAGGGAGAGACATCCACTGCCTAGGACACAGATAAGGAATCACTGGTCAACAGACGAAAGGATGTTCGGAAGACTGCTGGACTGCTGCTTTTATCTGACTAACCTTTTCCCTGAATTCCAAACCCCTTACCCACATTTTTCTTTTCCTTATAAAAAGGTCTGCTTGAGATGAAATGTAAGATGGTCTTTTGGGGTATATAACCAGTTGTCCTCTCAGATCGCCGGACACCTGAATAAAGTGCCCATTTAGAGTCAATCCTTGTCTGTCTGGCAGTGACAGGAACCACGGACACTGACTTCTCCAGCCTCACTTCCTGCCCAGCCATGCAGCTGCTGGGTTCCACTCCATGCCCCAGGCCCAGTGTTCTTTTTTTGCTAGCAATGGCCTCATAAAAGCTTTCTTTTAAGAAGACCTGCAGCCATGGAAGTTCATTATTGTTGTTGTTTAATGACTTATTCACTAAAACCGAAGAAGAAAAAGCACAAACTTTCCATTCTGTCCAATTTCCACATAACAGCTTCAAGATCCTTACCATTTTAAATTCCTTTAGAACCAAAGTCACCTGGAGAGGTGGTGAGAAGACTGCTGGGTCCCACCCGAGAGGTGAGGAGTCCGGGGGTCTGAGTCAGGTAACCTGCATTTCTAACGGCTCCCCAGCGATGCAGATGCTGCTGACCCAAGGGCCACATTTGCACAGTGCTGTGTTAGACGGTCCTTTATTACCAATGTACCCTAATCTAACAATTTTTTTTTTTTGCTGTTGGACATTTGTTTCCAATTATACATTCTTATGAATAATGTTTCAGTAAACACCTTTGTACGTTACCAGAAAGAACCTACAAGTATTTCAAGGTTTTTGATACACATTGCCTGAAAATGTGTCCTCCACTCCTAACAGTGCATACCAGAATTAGCCATTAGCAACATGACTCATACAGAGTATGATCAATTATTATCACTGTTATCAATTTAATAGGAAAGTTGTTTTAGTTTACATTTCTTTGCTAGTGAGAATAAACTTTTCCACTTATTCATCAGTAGTTTGTATTTCTGATTTGTTTATACTGTTTGCCCATTTATTCTATTGGTGTTAGTATCTAAAATGCTTATCAGTTCAAGCATGACCTGACATTTTTTGTATATACTTTTCTCATTTGCCAATTTAATGTATCATTGGTAATGATATTGTTTGACACAAGGGAGTTTGAAAATTGGAAGTAACCCACTCTACTGAGCTTCTGTTTCCTGATACTTTCCATTGCTATCATGCTTAGAAAATTGTTTCTCACCAAAACAGTAATTCAGTTAGCTACTTTTAGTTTTGTGTTTTTAACACGTTATTCCATTTTAATTAATTTTAATATAAAAATGAGATAAGTATTGCCCTGGCTGGGTGGCTCAGCTGGTTGGAGCTTTGTCCTGCATACCAAAAAGGTTGTGGGTTTGATCCCTGGTTGAAGGGGTATGAGAGATAACCAGTGTTTCTGTCTCGCATCAGTGTCTCCCCCTTTCCCTCCCTCCCTCCCTCCCTCCATCTCTCTCAAATCAATAAACATCTTCAGGTGAATTGTTTTTAAAAAAATGAGATAAGTATCTAGCTTTTATTTTTTTCTTCAAATTGTTAACCAATTTCCCAAGTTCTCCTTTCTACTACAAGAGTATGTAATGCCATCACATTTAATGGTTCAAATAAAAAATATACAAAATATACATATACTAATATGTCTATTGCTGGGCCAGTTATACATCCCAATTCCTGGAAATATAGCTTTTTACATTTAAATGTAGCAAATATTACATCAGCATGACATTGTTTCAATTAATGTAGCTTTATTAGCACATTTAAACATCTGACGGGGCAAGCCCCACCAAGTCACTCTTGACAGGCAAACACATATCCCCCTGGGCGTCTCAGTTCTTACAGCTGTAAGCTGGGTCACTACCTACCTCATAAGCTTGCTACAAGAAATTAGCTGAAAGCACACACATGTGTTATCACCTATATTTGACTATAGTATTATTGATGACTTCTTCAAATAATAAAAATAATTCTTAGAGGTTAAATTAAAATTTAAAAAAAATCCTTAATGATTTTGAACATTTTTGTTACACAAAATGTCTAATGGACCCAACATTGTTATAAACATTTTGGGGGGGTTGAAAATATTCCTTCTATGACAAACTGATGCAGCCACTATGAAAAGCAACATGGCGGTTCCTCAGAAATTTAAAAATAGAATTACCACATGACTCACTAATCCCATTTCTGGGTGTTTATATGAAGAAATCCAAAACACTAATTCGAAAAGATACACGCATCCTTACATTCATGGCAGCATTACTTACAATAGTCAAGATATGGAAGCAGCCTAAGTGTCCAGTGATAGCTGATTTGATACAGAAGTGGTATAGATATACAACGGAATATTACTCTTTCATAAAAGAGAATGAAATTTTACCACTTGCAACAACATGGATGAACCTAGAGTGTATTAAGCTAAGTGAAATAAGTCAGAGAAAGACACACACCACATGATCTCATTTATATGTGGAATCAAAAACACGACAAAACAAAACAGAAACACACTCACAGATACAGAGAATAAACTGATGGTTGCCAGATTGGAGAGGGGTTGGGGGTTTGGGTGAAAAAGGTGAAGGAATTAAGAAATACAAATTGGCAGTTAGAAAATAGTCATGGGGTTGTAAAGTACAGCATAAGGAACAGAGTAAATGATATTGTAATAACTACATATGGTGCTATGTGGGTACTAGATTTATTGGGGTGATCACTCCGTAAGTTATATAAACATCTAAATATTATGCTATATGCTTGAAATTAATACAATATTGAATATTAACTGTGATTGAAACATAGAAAAAGAAAATATTCTTTCTTGCTCATCTGAGTAAAAGAAAAAAAGTTAGTGACTATCTGCTAATCAAGTAAAGAACACCGGCGTGGCATAGTACTCCTTAAATTTGTACACGGTTTCAGTTTCTTAGAGCTGTGGAAAAGGTCATGACGCTAATTTTATGGATTGAGTCAATTTAATTTCTTTTCTTAACCTTATAGTTATACTCCACAAGGAAAAGATACTGATAGAACATGAATAAAAACCTTACAAGCCCATTCATTCCCTGAGTGAAGACAATGAACGCACTGCCTGTCCTAATACAGGCGAAGTTCAGAAACAGAAAACACTCCCACTCAAGAAAGTCTTAAATTTAGAAATAACTCTTGTACTCTGACAAATCTAACACCTAAAACGTATTAGTATCACACCCTAAAATAGCTCCGAAGGCCTTAGGTTACATGTATGGTACACAGAATCATACAATTTTTCAGCTACTAGCCGGAACATTACTGAATACTTTCCCCAATCCCTTTAATTAACAGAACTAAGGATTAAAAGCTAGGTCCAAAAGCTCACATTTTGGCTCAAATTCTAAACTTACTTTATGTTTCGCTGAAATGATAAAGTCTGAACTTACTTTATGAAATCACTGGTCTCCTGTTCACTGTCTTGCGTTGTATCCAAAGAGAAGGTATCCGAGAGCTCAGAGGCGGTGGTCTCCAGTTCCTCCGCTGGAAGTGTCTGCGCCCCCAGGGAGTCACTGACAGTCTCCCTCTCCTCCTCGACCCCGTCGTCATGACGGTCCCTGGCACTTGGCCAACCTTTCTCAGTTCTGTCATGGTCCTCTTTTAAAGAAGACTGCCTGGCCTCACCAAGAGATGATTTTCCAGAGATATTGAATAAGTTACCAAGGAACTGGAAAAAGCTTTCTTTTGGCTGCCGATCGCTTTCTCCTGTCTTGCTGTCTGGAGTGGAGCTGGAAAGGTCATTTGGCTTTCTGGCATCTTCTTGCACTGGAAGAGGGGTCACCTTCTCAGTACGGTTCCTTTTGTGCTCACTTTGGGGAACCTTTGAAAACAAAAGGGGATAACAAGCATCAGCATTAAAAATAACACAGACTGACTGATATACATGATACACTCTGTGCTAAACCCTGGGATACATTTATGAATAAGACTGACGGCTTTTGTGCCCTTGGGAATTTGGCAATCTACTGAAGGGCACAGTCAGCACAACTTTAAAATGCTACACAGTAACTGTCTTGGGGAGAGAGGCACAGAACACCTGGGAAAACCAGTCCTGATTTGGTGGCAGTGAGAGCCCAGGAGGTAACTCAGGGGATGCTTCCTAGAGGACACGCCCTCTGAAGGAGACCTAAACAGAGGCTTTGTGATGCCTGTGCATCTTCTCCCCTCTCCCCTTGTCTCGCCTCTCTTTCCCCTTCTTTGTGTTTAGCGAGGTACCAGCTTCGAAGGAGTTAGCTCTGATGGAGGTTATGGTACAGAATGAGAAGAGCGAGAGGTTAAATATGGGGACACAAGTAAAGGAACAGATCTTGGCAAACCTTATGTGTATTTACATTTAGCCTTTATTATTACAAAGCTAATGGACAGTATTTTCAAACACTCAGTACATTAAACAAATAACACCTGAACAGACTTTATCATTTCGGCCTTGTATTAACCCACAAAGCTGCTACGTTGTATAAAACTGTTCCCGAAGAAGATGAAGAAAAACAGCAACATGGCCCATCAATTCAGAGAAAAACTCTTCAAGGTAAAAACTCTTCAACGCAAACCATGGACAGCACAGGGAATTCTTGCAGATATTACACACTTCCAGAAGTGCGTTTTACCTGCCCATAACTAGGTATTAGTAAAGCAGACTCATTCATGTGTACTCTGTGTAAGGAAAGATTGAACTGCTATATCAAAGAACATGCCGGCTTTCCACCTCACACTCTTCCCTAAAGCCTCGCTAGCTTTAGGCCAATGTACCGACTTGCCCTGCCTTTCAAACATGCTCACTCGCCTACTTAAAAAAGGAGCATCTGTCAGATGATATGCTCACTAGTGCTTATAAAAGGAAAGCTCAAGTGTGACTCAGAACAAGATCAGGACACCAAGGTAAAAACCACCTTAGGGCACTCACTGCAGGTTCACATGACAAAGTTTTGTAAGAAGCTGATCTTCAAGAAGGCAAGAGGATTGTAATTATAATGTTATTTGTTTACCTTGTTCCATGTTTTAATTCAAATTCAAAGCAGTTTAAAAGGGGGTTCCCCACACTACTAATAAAATTTAGCATATGAAAGAAAGGCTGCGAAACTGTGTAGAGCCCATTAGTCCAGGAAATTAATTTTGAGCAAATAGTATTTTATGTTTGTTCGCACCCTGGGTGTCAGGGTAGTTTTGAGTACATACATAGCACTTTTCTGTATGTTAGAACCTTAATATAACCGGTGAGACTCTTATAACATATTCTAAGAGTCTCTACACTTAGAATATGGCCAGCCTTTTAGAGTCACTAAAGTCCCACCTTTTATTGGTTTCAAATGTCACGTGGCCCCACCCATCCCCACCTCCTCCCGCTGCGCTTCTGCCAGGACGGGAGCCCAACTCAGCTGTGTCCTCTCCTCACATAAACCTCGTAAACGCCTCTCAGTCTGGCAGTATGAGATATGCTGGGTGACGCTGTAAAAATGCTCGTGTGTACGGAAGATTCACATTTTTTTTTTGTCCTTTACTCCCTTTAATGTCTTGTAATTTCTGGCCACAATGTTTCCTCTGGAGTCTAATGAACTAACACTGTAACATTAACAGAACTCTGATTTTTTTTTTCCCCCCTCTAATAACTAGTATGAGTGACTGCTCATGCCGGGTCATTACTTATTACAACATCATAAATACAGATGGGGAAAAGTAGGTTTACAGTTGTTCATATGGAAAAATAATACAATAATTAATAATATAAGAATAAGTTGTGTTTCATGTACTCACAACTGTAAACCTACTTTTGCCCAACCCTGCATTCTTAAAAAGCTTTAGAGAGTCACAGGGTCTTATCATATTGGGGCAATAGTTAAAAAAAGGGAGAATTAAGAGAGCAAGAAGATTACATTTCTTGACTATCAAAATCTCAAGACATATAACTTCTGTCAAAAAGTGTTTATTTCACTGTCTAAATTATTATTTTCACCTGATAATTCCTTTCAAAGTGTAACAGACTAATTCCTAAACTAGTTTTGCTAAATTAACAATAGCTCTCACATTTAATTTTTAGAGTTTTAAAAATCACTGGTTTCTCTTTCCCCTCAATTTTTAGCTTCTTTGCTTTCCCAGAGTTCCTGAATCTTAAGTCTACTGACAAGCACTTTTTCAGTTTCCTAAAATGTCACAGTTGCTTAGCTTTTCCCTAATAATCTTACGAGAAGTTTTTTTATCAATAATTAGAATCCACTCGGCCAGAGAAAAGTATCTAAATTTATAAACAAAAACTAGCATAAATGAACACTGCAATTCCAAGTAAACACAGTAACATTTTGTATTCATGTAATTAAAATTTTAAGTTTGCTGTAGAACAGCTGCTCTTTGCCCCGCCTGCGCTCACACAACAATCAAGTTCAGCTGGCCACAGGCTACGGCCCGCGTCGCCTGCCAACAGGGCTGTCTGCTATTGTTCCAAGTGCTAGAACGAAAGCACTCAGGATCTGCACAAACACTGAAAAAACATCGATTTCAGTTTTCTCAAAGATGTTGATATTCCACAAGTAAAATATAAAGGCTACTGATGAAGGAATGTGTATCTTAGGAATTAAAAGTTTTTCCCTTCATACTCAATGTATTGTAATGTAGTACTGTTAGGTCCAAATTCATCTGTTCTCTTCCCTTTGTGCCTATTACAGGGAAATACAGGAAAATGTTAGGCACACTGATTAACGAGACAGCTCTGGCTTCCGGAGTTTACCGTCTGGTAAGATACTCATCATTGCATGGCGGTGCGGGGCTGACGAGGGCTGTGTGCCCAGCTGTGTTTATTATGGCCGGGCTACGGCTGAAGAAGACTGGGGCATGGAAGATGGAGAATGAGGTTGATAAGATGACCAAATAGAAGTGGAGGGTGAGGGATAACAGACATAGATGACTACGTTTTCTAAATTGGGCAACTATTGGAGTGGTTAAGCCAAAATGGATACAAGAAATACAGTATAAGGGGAGGTGGGATTAGGGCCTTTGTGGGGGATGGGGATTGTTTACAAACTATTTAGATGTCAAATGTTGAATTTTTTGTCCCCTGGTGATATCCTGGTAAGCAGCCAGAACACAGTTTAAGAATGTAGTCGGCAATACACAGCATGTGCAGGGGTGAAGGGGACCAACCAAAGAGGCTTAGGGAAAAAAAGATGAAAAGGCAGACATGAAGAAGAGAAGAAATCAGTGAAAGAGAAGGCCAAAACAGCACCAGGTCATCCCCTCCAGAATACTGGTCTCCAAAGGCATAAGGACAAAGATTATTTCCAAAAGCAAAGGGGAGTAAATGCCAAATTCCACTGTGAGGTCAAGAAAGGTGAGGGCTATCCTGGTCACCAGTCTTCAAAAACATCAGGCTCGCTCCTATCGGGGGAACTGGGCGTTTACTTTTCTCTCTGCTTAGAAGGTCCCCCCCCCCACCCCCATGGACTCCTTCCTGCTCACCTCCTTCAGGCCTTCACTTACCTCCTCATTGGAAGTTTCTCCAGACACCTGATTTAAAAGAATGAACTCCTCCACTCAGAAACTACCTACATCCCTTCTGCTTTGTTTTTCTTACTTGTTCTTGCAGTCAAACACACATACCCCATGCACACACACTTACATTAACTAATCTGTTTCTTCCTCCAGAATGTGAAAGCCACAAGGACAAGGAATTTTGTCTGTTTTATTCATTGCAGTATCTCTAGCACCTTGTAAAGTGCCTGACAATAAGAGCCAAAAATGCTCAAATATGTGGCGGATTAACAAATGAAGGGATGAGGAGTAGAAAGAGGCCCTCAGAATGCAGGAGAAATAGTCACCACAGCTCAGGATCCTGTGAGCACACCCCCAAACTCAAGGTGCTAGGCACTGAGTAAGTGGCAAGGAAAGAGGACTAGTTAGCTGAAAATGGAAGGGAACACTTCTGAGAGATTTTTTTTTTAACTAGGAAAAAAAAAAGACACAGATGACAGTTTAAGGTCCAAGACATACAAAATAGCTTTTTGTTCATGTTTTGTACATCAGCTCCTCACTGGGTAGAAAGGGAGTGAGTGCTGTATGAGAGAGAAGGATGACAGGCCCCAGAAAGAAAAGCGGAGATGATGAGATAAAGAGAGCAGTGGAGTCTCTAATACTTTTTTTAGTATTATTTATTTTTAAATTAAATTTATTGGGGTGACATTGGTTAATAAAATTATAGGTTTCAAGTGTACAATTCTATGAGATATCATCTGTATATTGCATATACAATCTGTATATCTAATATTTCTAATAAAAGGAAAGCATTAGCCTCGGAGAGGAACAGGAACATTTCCTCTTCCAAGTAAAGTGGTAAGAAAGTGGCCGAAGCCTGAGCAATTCTGTGCAAGCAGAGGAGACAATGAGGAAGGTCTGACCATCGGCCCTGACCTCAGTAAGGCAGGGAGAGGGATGACAAGCTGGAGCTGGGACGCAGAGGAGACTGGGAACAGTGTTTCTGGGAAATGTAGTAATTGGCTGAGACTGGGTATACCAAGCAGCAGTCAGGGTCAATGTAAACTTGAAAGCATTCTCTCTTTTAATAAATAATGAACAGCAAGATACTATGCTAGGGGCTTAGATGCAACAGTTAAAAAATACACCCAAAGCCCTGCTACCTTCTAATGGTATAAAAACTGATTTGTGGGTCCAAATGGCATTTGTTTGTCATCTGAGTAGCCTCTAGCAGGTGGCAGGTGCTGTCCCAACATGGTGACTGGCACAGGGAACAAGGTCAAGGATGTCAAGGGATTAAGAGTGTCGTCAAGGGAAGGGTATGTTGTGTGGAAAATAGGGAAGGGCCAGGTGACTCTTCCT